TCAGATATGGGATGAAATCGGATAGAGATGAAATCGTTTAGGGATGAACAGGTTTAAGAGTTTTTTAAGAGTTTTAGTCAAATGTTTTATAATATAGTATAGATATAGATTTAATTTAAGTTTAATAATAAAACAATTTATTTTTGATTTAATATTATAAATTTTATAAAAATAATAATTAAGTATTCTGTTATAATTTAATGATTATATTAATTATATTTTAGATTTTTTATATTTAAAATGAGATATTTATCATGTATTTGATTGTGTTTATCTGCAGTTAGTTACACGAATTCATATATGGGATAAAATCGGATAGGGATGAAATCGTTTAGGGATGAACGGGTTTAAGAGTTTTAAGAGTTTTTAAGAGTTTTAGCCAAATATTTTATAAGATAGTATAGATTAAATCGATTTAATAATATATCATATTTAATTATCATTATTATTTAATACATATATATGCTAATTAAGTTATATTATATATATATATATATATATATATATATATATACTATATTGCATATATGTATTAGTATTAAAGTTTCATCATAATTATTTTAAAAGACCTAAAATAATTTAATCCAAAAGTTAATTTTATAAATAATTAGTTACTTTAATGGATGGGGTATTTATAATAATCATTTGTATTGAATTTAAATAAGAAAAAAGTTCAAAAAATTAAAGAAATTATTCCATTTTGAATTATTAAGTTCTTTAACCTTTTTTTTTTTTGAATAAGTTGTTGAACTCTTTTTATGTTAAAAGATTATGAAAAAAATACTATAAAAAATTAATATCATGCAATTCACAAAGTTATAGTTATTTATAAAAAAAAAATCGTCCTTGCATATATTTTTTAATTAATAAATCATCAAACTTTTAAAAATTGTTTACTTGGATCATTTAAACTCAAAAAAATGAGAAAGAATCAAAATATATATTTTTTGATCATTTTTTTGGGCCCTTGTCATTGATGTCCTTCTTTTGTATCATTTTTTTATCTAGCTATATATGTTTCATTATATTGTTGTATAAAAGAAAGAATCGAAAGACAAAAACAGACAAAAAGAGGAAGATCCCTTAGACGTAGTTGTTCGAACGCATCAATATTTATTGACTTGGATGAAATGAACTATTAGGAACTAGCGAGACGGTTCTTTTAGAATAAGTGAAATATAATATAAATTATTACGTTTTATTTGCATATACATTTTCTGCTTTTTATGTTTTACTTATATTTCAAATCTCAATGTTTATTAGAAAAAATAATAATGTCTATATAAACGTAAAAATGTTAAAGACAAAAAAAACATAACATGTTATTTATTATTGATATTTATATTAATTGAAATA